CCCAGGGTACAGTATGCATTACTTACTGAATGCTTTGTTTAACATAAAATTAAAGCAAAATGATGATATTATTACAATAGATAATATAAAGAGGCATGTTATTTACATAATGTAATTCATAATGGAAAATATGGTGAGACTGTCCAGGATAAATTAGTGGATTAAGATTGAAGAAATTACTGAAATATGATGAGAGAGAAAGTGGCATGTAGATATATTTATTATGTAACACGAATGTTTGTGTTTTGTGATCTATTTGCATACTTGATTTCACAGATCGAGGGAAAAGCTACTATGAAAAAGGTTTATGACTACACCTGAGCTTTGTTTTTTACACACATTTTACCTGAGAGTTGCACCACTGGAGCATTAGGGAACAAAAACAATGTCAGTGATTCATTCACTCCCCATCCAGATGGACCACAAGCTGGTTTCTCTAATCTTAAACCTGCCATCTCCTCCTCTGTGGTACGTCACAGCAGGTTCAGTTTCTAAATAGTCTCAACTAGAGAGCAGTGTTTGCCCACACTGAAGGGCCTAGCAGGCACAGGAAGCCAAAGAGGCAACAGTCTACAAAGAGAAGAAAGTTTCCACACTGCAAAACTTTTAATTGTCAAACTTTAATTAGGACGACAAGCTTTACAGGTAAAGTTAAACCCATGTGCAAAAACAATTTTCTCTTGAGATGTCAAACTATTGCAGAACAGAAATTAAACTCAGACAAGCTTGTAAACACAAGGGGGCGCACGGATTCAACTCTAAACTTCAACTTGACCCACTTAACTTATCTCTGTGGCAAGAGTTGACTCTCAGTCAGTGTTTTTCAAATTAAGATGTCAGGGGCTTGGTACTTCCTCTTTTCATAGTGGGGGAATTGTTGTGTAGACATTTCGCTTAGTGTCAGTGTTTACCAAAGTCATTTCAACCAGATCCTGTTGTCATTATTGCCTTGACACAAGTGCACTAATGAGCGCTTTACCTCTAATTGGATCATGACATGATTGGAAAATACCACATGTGTGATATGGTCCATCGGCACTTCCAACCACAAGATTCCCACAGTGCGGACCAACCCTAAAACATAAAAATACATCAGCACAGTAATCAGTCTGGATAGTGAGATCCTGCCTGTTGTTTTATTATAATGAAAAAAGATCTACAGTGATTCTGTAGAGGGGAATCACAGCCAAATGTAGTTAATTTACATGTGAAAAACTAGATAGATATATGTTGTTGTGGTATTACGTGA